GGATGTTCCTCGGGAGCAACTCGAAGTTCGTTGTAGAAGGTATGATGCCAGATTTTCTCCATGTCATCCCAGTTTGTGACAATGCCGTGCTCAATTGGATATTTCAATGTCAGGATACCTCTCTTCGACTGAGCCTCATCGCCTACGTATGAATCCTTTTGACCCATACCGACCATGACACCCTGCAAAACTTTTCATCGATGCCCGGAAACCATCAAAATTTTCCAAATCAGTTTTTAAAGCCGATTATAATTTCCTAACTGGATATATCTCTTTTTTATTCAATTTAAATTGTTTGTGTTAGATGTGAGCAGAGTTGAGAAGCTTACCTGATGCCTCGGTCGTCCGACTATTGATGGAAATACAGCTCGAGGTGCATCATCACCGGCAAATCCGGCTTTGCACATACCGGATCCATTGTCTACTACCAATGCCGCTACTTCCTCGTCGCACATTTCTGCTCCAGCTTATTACTTTGAACGATAGTTCTCTTTAAAATTAGCCACAGATTCAGATATTTAAGCAATCAAAAAAGAATTATTTCAAACATTTCTAACTATATATACGGCATCGTTTTGAAGAGCTTTCAACGAAATAGTACTGTAATGTCAAGAAAAACGCAGCAGTCGTTGTCATGGAAGGGGAAAAGTTAGCAAATGAATTGACATTCATTTGGTTGTATAGATATTCCCTCGCATTAACAGAAAAAAACTTCTTCGAAAGTATTGTTGTGTGGGTGAAGTTGCATCTTCCCTTGTCTTTGAATGAGTTTATCGTTGAAAAAATGTTAGGGCTCCCGAGTGGTCGAGATTTTTTTTTTTGCGCATTCTAGTTGTTACACATCGGTGCGATGAAAGCTTACACTAGCTTGCTCAATTGCTTACACTATGCAAACATTTTACTGAGAGTGAGGTGCAAAGCAGAAGACAATGGTTCGCTATATGGACAAGAATTTGAAATTCATAAATCACGAAGGAATTTGTAGAAGAAACGGCAATTAAGATTACAACAGTTCGACTCGATACCCTCCACAGCTTCCCTCTGCCCCTCGAATATTTAAAATATTTACAGAGGAGGAGGATGATGGATGATATTACATACAGCTTATTGTTTATCATAGGTTAAACGTGGGAAACGAGAAGAAACGCCTAGAACTAAGTCAGAACTTGATGATTCAAAACAGTGAAATTTAAAAGTTTGAATAGAATGGACATAAGCAAGGCTAAAGAAGCATAAAAAATCATTTTAGTCCAAAAATAAGGGATGAGTTTCAATGAATTCTTAAGACGAATGAAAATGAATAAAGCCAAAAAGTAAGCTTATTTGAACTGTTGTGAATTTGCTTGAATGGCGGTAATGGATCAGATCCAGTATTCTTGACCATTGCGCAATGCTAATGCGCGTCAATTTGAATGAATGAATGGATAGAAATAAGTAACTAAATAATTCACTAATTGTTGTGGCAAATATTCGGAAATGACTCTGAACAATCGTTAAGTCTTCGGCAACGCCTAAAACAGTTGCAGATAATCTGAATGCCACGGATCATCAACCAGCTTCTTTTATACAGGCTTACAGATCACCGCTCTTTCTCTCTCTCTTTGTGTGTGTGTGTGTGTCTGTGTCTGTGTATGTATGTGTATATGTGTGTATGTGTATGTGTGTGTACGTGTATGTATGTGTATGTGTATGTGTGTGTATGTTCTGTCTATCTGCTGTAAATGTGTCTAAATGGCTCAATATTCGGAAATTCGTGGAAATGAGTGGATGAGGTGGAAGGCGTTGAGCACTGCGCAAGCAAGATCGGAGAGATCGTGGTGGAGATGACCAGGAGGGAAGATATGTGCCGCGCATCGCTAAGAAGAACAACAAAAGTGGTAGCAGTATTGAAACAAAGTTCTGGAAATTGCTCATAATGGAGGAGGAAGATATACAGGTGCAAGGAACCATCTTGAGTCTTACACTGCTGCTTTCTGATCCCTGATACCTTTTTCCCTTTCCGGCTGGAATTCCTATACAATAACTTGATGAGGGACAGGGACCTCGTCGGGAAATCAGCAATATCTGTAGAAAACAGTGACGCTACACATTGTACTTAAATTGTATATTTTTATTTTATCCAAAAACCCTAAGGACCATGCTAGATGGAGGTTCACACTAGTCAAAGATGCTTCTACGGGAAAACACAGCCAATTGTGCAAGGGTTTGGTGCATATGAACTACCATTCGACACTTGCATGTTATAATATTTCAGACTTCACAAAAGTTGTTACTTGCTCAACTAAGTGGTCTTGGATGTGTAATATCGTGCAGCTCAGTCTTTATTACAACCACACATTTTAGGTCAAGGAGTGATGTCACTCAAGTTTATGTTTTCAATCAGTGATCAAGAAAATACTTTGAGTCCTAACAGATTGAAACATCTCTCAGTAACTGCAATTTTGAAATAATGTGTATTCATGATGATGATAGCATTTTGCTCGAATTTAGCTTCCACAATTAATCGAACATTATCCCTTTCAAAACCTTCATGCCTTCATTGAAATGGATTTATGTACAGTGGCGATATTTGCATTTAGATAATCTTACCTTTTCATTGCTGCCTGAATTTTACAGTGCATTCTTGAAATTTAGAAAAACAAAGAAGTATGAAGTAGAGTATGCTGAAAAGAAATAGAATAGTGAAGATCGTTATAGACTGAAAAGAAATAGAATAGTGAAGATCGTTATAGACTGAAAAGAAATAGAATAGTGAAGATCGTTATAGATCCCGTAAATATGAGATTTGTGCTACTTTCTATCTTAGTATAATCCTATTTTGTACACGGAAATCATGTTGCTTTTACTTTTTATGTGAATTTGGATGCGCAAATATCGGAACTGACAGAAACTATCAGAATATCAGGCATGTGAAATATGTGTAGTGAAAATAATATCCAGATGATATTTTTTTATTGAAGACTAATGTATTCGAGATCTTCTTCGCCTTAAACGACACCGGATGGAATTAGAACTTTATAGTAATTCAAAAAGCTAAGGAACTTAGCTGATCTTTTATTGCTTCCGAAGTTTCGTAAATTCCAAGAGCGCTCCTGTAGCACCATATTATTTGATGTAAGTACTCTTATATAATAATAAACAAGTATAAGTGATTTATTGCAAAAAGTGACTTATTGCTCTTTAAGTACTTACTCTAAGTACTCTTATATAATAATAAACAGTAATAATAATAATTAATAATAATAATAATAATAATAATAATAATAAAATAATAAAAATAAAATAAATATCATTATTACCGTTACTACTTTAATTATTGTCAATTACTAACAATAATTGTTAATATTATTAATTACTAATAGTGATTAATAATTATTACTAATTATCACTGACTGCCAGTGACAATTAATAATAATTGGTAATAATTACTACTGATCATTGGTGATAATAATTATTAACTGTTTTTATGTTCTTCATATTTTTGCCGGTATAAAATTTTGTAGTTGAATCTGTTGAAGTAACTATTTTGATGAGCTAGTTTTTCGGAGAAATTCCCGACTCTGTGGATTGTTGTGGAATGAAATGAAGAAATAATGAATTGGTTGGAGAAGGTGAAGTTGCTTTATTATTCACTAAAATGAAAAGAGAAATAGTATGTGATTTGAGATGAGATGGAAGAGTTCGAGTTCCACGAATTGCAATCCTGCTATGATGTATTTTTGTTGTAAAAGTTATGGATAACAGTGAGGAAGAAGAAGAGCTTACTATCACTCTACCAGATAGCAGTGGACAGAATGACAAATAAACAGACAAATAACATAAGCTTCAAAAATTTCGAAAAAAATTTATATTTCTATAGCACACTCCGCTCTTATAACACTCCTTTGCTTCTTTCACTTCCTTCAATTCTTGGAATTGGAACTAGCCAGGAATCGTAAGAAGTCCTGACACTTGTTGCTAATCAGCTAGACATTTCACTTATACTTCAGAAGATACACACACACACACACACACACACACATACACACACACACACACAGACACGCACACACACACATACACACACACACACACACAGAAACACACACATACACAGACAAACAAACACAAACACAGACACAGCACACAAATTATGTCGTAATTTAGGGGGCAGACAACAAGCTTACACATTTACAAACGCCTAATATTCATTCTGCAAAACACAATATCTTCCGTCGAAAATGTCGAAAAATTTAAATTAATATCATATACTGATGACTTATACTGTTTTTAAAAAGTATATCAATTTCACTATTCGAAATGCTCCATTGGGAATAAGCCATGATAAATTCAAATGAAAGTAGCATACTTTCCCGCCAAATTTATTCGGGAACTCGACCGGTACACATTTCCGCAATCATCTTGGATGTTGATCATCATATAAAATGCTTCACTGGCAGCACCTCCATCCAAGTCCCAATATCATAGATATCTATGCAGCACGACACATCAATTTTCGGAAGTCAATTTTATATACCGTTCAGTTTTCAAATGAAACACCGAGCACCATTGTGGCCCCATGAATGCTTTGAATTTCCTTAGTGATTTGAAATATTCACTTATATGATTTCAGTGTGTACCTGTATGACCAGTTTGAACAACTCTCAGTGGCTGATTAATGTAGCATAAGATGCGGAAATTTTTATGGCATTTCTCATTGATATAATGCACAGAAATTACGACAATGATAAACATAACCTGCATAATATTCAAAATTAAAACGATATTAACTGAATGATTCTGTAGATAAAATCCATTGCTACAGCTACAGTATTTGAAAGGAATAAACAATCTCAAAATTACTGTAAAATTTCGAAAAATATGCCGTAAAAACACCAAAAAACATCTTGAGCAATCGGTTTGTAGTGAAGAAATATAGGATGGCGTAGATGATGCTTCTACCGGGTATATAGCGCTGATGTAAATCAAGCTCCTCTTTGCTGAAAGTGATCATCTTTGCTACATCACTCAAAATTTAATACATGCATAAGCACACTACTTTTGTAACAAATTTCTTGACCAGGTGATACGAAAAGCTGCATACCTTCCAAAATTGAAACGTACAAACAATGGTTACTTAAGGTCGGTTTCTGCCAAAAACCTCTCTGAAATACCCTGCACCAAGGAATAATGTTTTCAACTGACTTGCATAATCAACTTGAAGAGAAAGGACAAAAGAATAGCCGAGATGTATGAAAAACTCAGCTGATGAGCATGGTGAAAAATCTGCACAAAAATGCATAGCGAGATGGAAATATATGGAACAAAAAAACGACAAAACATACCAAATGGATCAGCGCTATCCGATTAGCATGTTCAGGAATACGTCCCCTCCCACTCCCACTCTCTTCATGTTCTTTTTCCTTCAGCATTAAAAAAAAACGCAAAAATGAAGCGGTTGATCACAAGAGACTGAGCTTCCCGTAATTAAACTAGCTTATACCACTTTCTGTTCACAAAAACGTGTGCTATCAAAATCGAAATATCATGAACTCACACTTAATAACTTGGCACTCTCTCTGAAAATGTTAACTGACAAATCACCGTGATCTTGACCATTACAGATATAAGAAATCAACAGAATCACTGAACACTACAACTAAAATATTGAGCTCTGAAAAACTTCTGAAATCAATGAATATGACAATAGAAAACGAAAGTAATGCGGTATGAGCTGATCTCAAGCACTATGCTGCAACACATAATATCCGTTCTTTACGATAATTCAACATTCCAATTTCCCTACAGTTTCTGCGCCATAATGAGACAGATTTATAAGAATCCCGCAAAAATCTACAAATTTAATCAGATTCACAAGAACAAAAGAAACGTATCAGAAACCCTGAAATACTTTCAAAAACGCGATTCAGATTTAGAAATCAAAACATACATATGATCTACGAAGAAACAAGAAATGGAGCGAAGGGGTCTATCAGAACCATGACTCCGCAAACTGAAACAGACCTAGCAAATCGCAATGAAGTTTCCTATGATTTCTATGACCGATTAACGAAGGCCTTTTCTAATTTCCATCTCTTAATACTGCAAGAAGTAATTTAAATCATCGACCACTACGTATAGCTGTACGCATGAAAATTAAATTTCTATGTATTTGATATAAACTCCATTTCCAAACGCATAGGCCACCGAAAAGAAGGAAAACTGAACAAATTGTGATATAACTACAATGGCTTAGTTGCTAAGCAGTATATATAATGAAGATCTGATTAGCAAATAAATTGCATGCCTTAATCCAAGCATTAAACTTCGTGTAATCAGTTATTTATTTACAACTGTTATGGCACTCGAAGATATGCTACATCTGGAAATCACCGAAATTGCTGTTATTTGTTGATTCATTCCAAGAAGCCGAAGCATCGGGACTACCCATATGAACATTTTCCATCGGTTGATCGGTAGTGTTAATATTCGGTGGTCCAGGACAACAGTAAGCATTTAACGAGGTCCCACTGTGCTCTCCTCGAACTGAAATTAAGAAAACAATGCTACAGCTATGAAAAGGCATAAATCGCACATAAGATATTTCTTAAAGGCATGATTAACGTGAAACCAACACGAATACGTAAGGGATTAAACCATATATTTAAACACAATGATTGATTTCTAAAATTTTAGATACGCTATCAAACAGATTTGCTTATAAGAAAGCTATCAAACAGAGTTCTGCTTATAAGGAATCATTTCATGAAAGAAACCAGAGGGATATGCTGATCGCAAGTGATGTCTTTGCTGAGGTAAATCAAACTGTTGTGTGAACATTGTTGCGAATGGATCATCATTTATTGAGAGTCCAGAAAGATCCTGAGAAACACCATTAGAACATTTAATTGATAAATGGAATATATTTTAATCTAAAATCGGCTTCGCTGTGCAAGCAAAGCAGCTAACCACATTCCGAAATGATAACCTGCAATTATATTCAGAAATTTTGAAAAATACAGAGGATCGAGAAATGCACTTTTAAAGTCTTGCAGTTTATACTAGAAATTTTCATGAAAGACACCTCAGGCCACACTTCTGAAGAATACTCCATGTTACTTGACGTGTTGACGGTGTTTTGCGATGGACCTTCACGGCCATACATGACAGGACTTGTCTGATTATCAGATGGTACTTGCTGTTGAGGAGGTGACAAAGTCTAAAACAAACTCCGGGTTAATATTTCATCTTTCCCAAACATAATAAGATCATATTTTACAAACAGCAGGATCTTCAATGGTTACATTGCAATAGCTTTCGGAAAATGTCCAAAAGAATATTCAACAACTAATACCGAGATAATCAGTGATTTGGGGACTTTGAACCAAACTGTAATCCTTTATTTAGTAAAAAAGATAATCAAATGAAAGTAAAAATTTCTAAAAGGAAAGAAACATTTGAATAAGCGTAAAATTGAAAATTAAAATTATTTCAAGACAAGATTTACCTGAGATTGCATATGAACGCCAGGGCCCTCCAAATTAGGATATGAAGTTAAAGGCGTGGGTGTTGACAATGCAGTTTGTTGTGGTGGCAAAGGAGGATAATGAAGCGCCCCTGATGCAGATGTTGATATGGTATTGTAGGAATTATTGGTCCCGTAGTTTTGTTGGGGATATTGAATTTGTTGGGAAGAATATCCGTTGTACGGTATATTCGGCTGTCCACTGGACTGCACCGAATGTAACAGCAAACGATGAGATGGTGACAAAGGGAAATTCTGGTAAAGAACGGATGGATTCCCGCCTTGGACACTGCGCTCATAAGCCTGTTTGGCATATGTTGCTGTAATAGCTTGGAAAAGTATAAATGTTTTTGTTATATTTGTGTACACATATATCATTTATTTCGCAATCTACTACTACGCATTATTTATAACATTCATCCTTTAACCAAAGGTTGGATGATAATACTTAGTGCGACCAATTCGTTTTACGAAGCGGCCGAAGACTCAAGTAATTTCGCTCTTAAGCGAAGACTAATCACGAAAACCATATTAAAACTAATCAAAAAGGCACCACTCCGACCACAGACTTCGTCATGTCTCAAGAGTTGTCGATTGCAGTTTTTATGGTCATTATGTACATAGCCAGATGTTCACCAGGACTCATACAATCATTTCGAATTCGACAGTATCCCACTTTTGAAGCAATATAAACTAACCAAAAGGTTGATTTCGACTTTGTGAATAATGATGCAAAGCTGCCATCAAGCCATTATCTGCAGCATATAAGGCAGCTAACTGAAATACATCTTAGTGAATTATCATGCTTACCAACACTTTAATGACTTTTGAGCTAGATGAATATTCGGTTGTCATATTTTAATAAGGAAAAAGGCTTTTCCTAATAATATCAGATGGTCAATGAATAATAAACAACTGTAAGTACATTTGGAAACTGCAATAAACTATTTCGATAAGGGTAACTCCTATTTCGATAATAAAGGTAATGCTAACTTCTGGATGCGAAGAAAGTTCATATATAAGACCGAGAGCACTTCTATCCAAATTTTCATCCTTCACATAACTCTGATATAAGCAAAAGACTGGTAGCAATGTTGCACAATCACCATCGCGATCGCGAAACATTAAGAAATCAGCCCTTCTAACACAAAATGATATCTGCAAGTTTACAATTCCACTTCGTGAAAGAAAATGAATTGGTAAAAACAATATTTGAATCAATTAAAATACCAAAGACAAACCTGATTTAGAAGAAGTGAATCGCGGCACAGAAGTTGAAGAGTGGATAATGATAACTGAATAAGATCTGCAACACGTACTTCCTCTACCATTTTTGTCTGTAAACAACAAATTCACGTAATGGGCATTTCAAAAGTAATAAAGATAATCATGACAATCGCTTTTATTATTTTTCTTCTGCTGTGCTACTTTGCTTTCGAACACTAAAATATTGTCTACTGTCTTCTCTTCATTTTAAGGTATTTTAGAAAAACAGAATTCCAAATAGAAATATTACTGGAAATTGCGGAGATTTTGGTGTTAAATATTTTACCGATGGTAATTGATCGCATGCGACCTTTAAAATCAATGTGATACGCTCCACAAAGTTTGTCTCGCAATCAGGTGTTTGCCTCAAACGAATTTCACGAAACAGTGGAAGGTTTGTATCTTGCAGAGCTGCTTTATTCAGTATCTGAAATTTGAATTTAATATCAATTTTTGTGTTTTTGTTTCATTAACAGAAAGAACAAGAAAAAAGTAAATAGAGTCTTGACTTGACCTTTTCAAAACATTGCAATCTAGTTGAAAAAATCAGAGGCCATCCATTTGCTGTGCTAGATTTTATTTATCTCTAAATAATATACGAACATGGATACGCTGAATTTAAAGAGCAATCTCTATAAAAGTGAATTTCAGGTCCTAACCTGAAGTGTCTGTTTCAGTATAGAAGGCCTCATTTCGGTAAGTTTTCGGAGCAAAAAGTCAGCAGCATACTGCTGCTGAAGGACAGCTTTCTGCGCTTCAACTTGATGGGTATGTCCGACACACAGATGACGCAGTGTTGCTAACGCACGTTCCTATGAAAGATAAGAGAATTTCAACTGTTGTGAAATAAAACCAATAGTATGCATTAAATGTATGATGACCATTATGTTGCTATAGTCAGTAACTCGTGTACGAGTATTTTAATGCACTACAATAGCACCTTAACTTTCTCTATAGTAATATATTTTAAACTTTAGTTTTCTTTCCAATTAGAAAGAGTTTTCTAATCAGCTTAATTTTTCATATAATGATCATAGGATGAGAAAAACGCAAAAATTCAAGAAATAAATTCTCGACAAAGGCATGTTCAGCTTAGAAATAATTCATACAGTCCAAAAAATTTTGTGAGAACTACCTGTATATCTTCCACTCTTTGCTGTTGATTTGGAGTGCTTGCTGGTATGCTATACGAACTAATCAAAACACGATACAAAGTTGGTATTGCTCCTCGACTGAATAAAAATTCCTTGTTCATTTGGTTATTGGCTAACAGATTCGATAAAATTCCAGTACAGTACAAAATGACAATTGGATCCATCGCACCTAAAGACAATTTTGCAACTGAACTGAATATATCAATCAAGGAAGTGTAGTTCTGTTTACGAACAAAACATATATCATATTGTGCAACCATTACTTCCCAAAATCCCATGGTAGAAAGTCTGAAAATACAAGTAACTTCTAACACAGACTATTATTAATGCATTACGCCTAATCATCAATTGAAAGAAAAAAAGTGAAATTAAAATGTACCCAAAAGCTGTAGAAGTTTATTAAGAAGAGGTGAAACATCCATATCTTTAGTGGGTACATCGGACATATTCCTGATACATTCCAAAGTTGAAATAATTAACCGCTGACTGGCGTGTTCGAGCTGCTTATGCAGAACATCATAGCCACCACACTTCACTATTGCTTGGGGATCCTAAACACATCAAGAGTAGTGAAAAGAATTTTGAACATTTCATTATTTCTTGGGGGAAAGCACTAAATCTTCAAATCTAAAAAGACTTTAATAATTGTAATTAAGGATTGTAATTCACATGGAAAAATTATGACGACTTACCGCATTAGAAAAAATTTTTAAAAGCTGCGTAGTTCTCCAGAGTAAACCTTCATAGCGTAATACACGCAATATATGAAGCAGTTTGGATGGCCCATTTAATTGTAGAAATAGTGCCTGAAATTAAGAAGGAAAAAAAGTAGTAAATTCCGAAATTCCCATGAATTGTGATTTCGGGAATCATTTCAGTCTTTTCAGCCAATGCAGTACAAAATCTGTTCCCGAATTTTTTGATTATATCCTTAGTTAAACGTCGCAGTAAAGATCATTCTTATCTGATTAAAGAAAAAGAAAAATGACTTAAAATTTCTAAGAATTCACTTATTCTGACCTGGATAGTACTCCTTCGGAATTTTGCAGACTTTTTGAATTTTTCCGGAATAAATTTTAAGGATGACAAAAGATTTTTGAAAGACAAAATATGTATTAAAAAAGAAGAAAGCAATGATCACGGTAAAAGCTCGCTAGGAGCAGAGCTATCAGTTATATCGGATACGACTAACCCTCTGCGACTGACTTTTATCACAAAGTAATCGCACACATTCAACGATTACTGAAAGGAGCTTTTCATTGCTTTCACGATCGAGAAATTGAGCCAGAGCCTGAAGGGCACCATTGGCTCGAGCTACTTCGACATTGTGCCCATCAGCCGATTTTACAGCAATGATCGTATGAAACGTCAAGATTGCATAACGCAAGGCTGAACCACCGCTGAAAAAAAGTGGGAAGAGTTCGGCATGTTCCCAACTGTTTGGTCATTAATTTATTTCTGATTTTGCCGCATCGTTGCATAGATTAGCCATCGAACATCCAAAAGTTCAAGAGTGCTCAAAGCAGTGGCAAGAAAATAATCTGCCACATATTGTCCTATATTTTTCCTTGAATTTGAAAAGATGTCAAAAGATAGGGTAGGAAACTTACGTAAATTTAATATGTTGAATAATATCGACCAATAATGACCCCTTTGTTTGGTCATTTATTTTCAAAATGCTTTCAAGACCATCACGACGTTCAGAAATATGAAATAAAGCACCAAGGGTTGGTTTAATGATAGCCTGGAAGTAAAGAATTTCAAACAGGAATGTAAGATTCTCATTTGGAAAAACGATTTCGTTATATATTCCACATTGATGCCTGATAGAAAGAATGCAACTTCATCCACTGCTTACTTCACATGATTCTGAGATAGTTGCATAAAAAGATCGCCAATTTTAAAGAACTTTTTCAACCTTATATCAATTACATTTCAAAGTCTGAACAGAGAACTCTGACATAAAAACTAGATCAGTACTTACTGGTTTATTTGACTTTGTTCTCAACAGATCTTTCAAAGCAGTTATAACTTCAACTGCTCGCAAATAAGGTTCCGCATAAAGCGGTTCTTCGGAATCAATCTTAGCGATAGTTTGTATCGTTGTTGCTGCACGTTGTACTACCACCTAAAACATAATCTTTGAAATGTTCACAGTTTTGGGAATACTTCAAAAAAAAAATCTGCACTTAAGCTTCTCTCTCCGCAATCCCAATAAGAATCTGAAATCTACCAGTATTTTTCTAACAGCTGAAAGAAGATAATTAAAAGACTGATGCCAATGTCTATAGTTTGGATATTCACAGAAACTTCAAAGAATAATCAACGTTCTGTACTTGGTCAAAAACAAAAATATATACATATATATCGCTAAGAAAGGACAACCTCATCAGCATCACTAAGTAAGTGTATAAGCTCTGGAACTGCATTCCGTGTTTCACCATCTTGTGAGCCACGTCCCAAATCTGATGGTATATTTTCGAATTTTATTTGCTGCTGATCAGTTAACTCAATCCGTGAATGTGCATCATCGGACATAGTCGAGATTTGTGATCCAGCGCGTAGCGAACTAACTGATAGAACTGATGGTGCCTTCAAGTAAACAGTGATAAGAGCTGGTCTAGCATCTTGAATCTATTTTTCTTACTTTTAAATAAATATATTGTAAAATTTCATGAGTGGAATTTTAAACCTAACTAGAAGCAATGATTTTCAAGCTTTACTACTTCTCGTTTTTGCTTCACAACTAAACTGTTAAACAATAAAATCAGCTAGCATGATTTGTCAAAGTTACTGATTACTGATGTCAGATTAAGTTAAAGCCAGCGCGATGACTAAATCAAGTTCCTTTGTGAGAAGTGATAAATTTGAAAAGATTAAAATTTAGTGGAGAGAATATGGAAACATTTTATGAAAATAAACTTACTGAACTATGGTTCATAGAATGAACACCACTATCGAAATTATTAGACCACATCTGTACACGGAACATAGCATTTGTAGCACTAGAAGGACCAGTTGAAGGAATATCAGCGTTTCCAATTGAAACGGATTGTTCCTGCTGTTGCTGCTGCTGCTGCTGGTACTGATGAGGAAGCGGAGCAGAAAGAGGCACCTGAGTAGGACGTGGAGGCATTTGTGACGAAGCAGGAATTGGTTGGGCCTGAGTTGGAGGGAGACGTGTTGAACTACCGTTAGTGTTGAAAAGGGGTTGCTGTTGAAGGACGGAAGGCCTACCGGGACCCGATTTCGGGGAAACCATCGCGCCTAAACTGAAATGACGATTCTCAGCGACTGCTTTCATCGTACTCGGTATCTGTTCTGCAGGAGAGCAATGAGGTACATAATCCTGCAAAAAATAGCTTAAACTTGATCGTTGAAATATGTGGAATAATCGTTCCATGTATAGTAGCATTAAATTTCTATTTAAACAAATTTCTTATCAAATGAAATAACTAACGTGAGGTGAACTGTTCATTGCGCCAAGCTCACTACCTGACCTCCAAACCTGAAGAATTACTACTTAAAATAGCTATATTTAAATATAAACATATTAAATCTCGCTCGGAAATGTACCGCCTATGTGACACAACTGTTGCATGTATTCTTATTCCGCTATGTCGCAGAAAGAGCGCTCATTCTCTACTGAGCTCGAATTACCAGCAGATTCAAATTAAAAAACCTGATTGAAATTTAAAATAGAAGCAACAACACCGTAGAAGGATGGCCACTTATGGTGTGGTCTATTTGATATGCTGATCATTTGTCCTTGACATTATATCTGCACAATAAAGTGATCTGTTTTATATCATCATTATCACCACCTTCCACTATTTTTGTCTCCATCCATCGGCTTTTTTCTTTGTTTTATTTTAAAGGCCATGATCAGCAACCAAAAGTGAGATTCCCTCTCCCTGTTCCCTCTTTGTTACCTTATGAAACTAGGATGAGCATACTGGAAAAAGCTGTCCTACTATATTTTTAGATTTACCAAAAATTCTGCAACAATGGAAATCGTCCGAATTATTTCTAGACATTTTGAGTTAGAAGAAAAACAACCAACAAGATCATGGTAGTTCTAATAAATCATGAGGTATAGCAGTGTAACCAAAAATCTTATGCAGGAGTTTCCAGTGCTGACTATACAGCAGACATCAATGCTAACGATGCGCTAACGGAAATTATTATTTCTCTTCAATCAAATTTCAACCAAATTCTCAAAGTAGTTAATTCCTAATACTACCAGTATGATTAAAAAGTGAGCTACCGTTTATGAAAACGGGAAAGACAAAAATAAAACTGATAAACCATAAGGAATTTTTAAAATTAAAAGAAAAAAAGGATCTTAAAGCCAAGTAAACGACCACATGACATTAAAAGACGAAGGAAAAAAGCAAAAACATGATATATTTCTTGAGAATAATGTAAGAATGGGCTGGGGAACTTTTGAGAACGGGTAGAGAACGGAATGACACATAATAGGCACTACTACTAACTTTAGTCCCACATATCACCCAAAACTGAACCACTCAAGCAAACCAAACCAATCCCTAGAGCATCAACATCACTATCACTACTGCTGTCACTACCACGGTCAAAAATGGAACCATTTCTTTTCTACCACCACCCCACCCTGCCATACCCGCCCGATCCAAAATGATTAATGATTCTGAAATTCCTTGACGAACAGATTGTCTAATTTTTGCTTACTGGAGCTTTTACAACTTCATGCTACTCTTATTTTCAATCAAAACTTTATTAAGGAATTTGAAAAAAATACACTTGTTCATATACTAATGATATATTAATCAATTTAGATGGTGTTTAACCATATTAAGCCAAATGACCATCTTTATTGGATTCATGAAAGTAGTACTCCTGATATAATCATAAGATCGAATTATGCACACATTTGAAACTTCGAACAAACTTTACGGGTAGTTCATCGTCCGTGCAAGCAGCATACTTCTGTTCCATCCGACAAAGAACGAAAACGGATATTCGCTTTATAATATTAAAAAAAGTTTCCATTAGCAAAAAAAGTCATGAAACATTAATTTAAACTTTGAATGGTATCATATGTTGGTCAGTTATGCACAAAGATTATATGTAGTACCCTGTCCCGACCACACTCCATTGTAAATCTGTTTTGGAATCGAGTAAGAAAGTTTGCATAAAAATACTGGAAATTGGTTAACGGTAGGTCACTGAAAATAAATATATTTCCTTAAACAGCAATTATCTCTGCTGAAACTAAAAAAAAAAAATCTTAAATTTATCCCATTCCTGGATACACTAAGCAAATGTATAATCAGTTAAACTTTATTCTAAATATTAACTTTCCTTATCAATTCCTAGCGCTACAACATCGTAGATTTTTGAAAGAACACAAATATCTCAAATATTGAACTCTAAAACGATTTCCTTTTCACCCTCTGTTTTAGCGTCGCAAATTCATTTTTTGAAAGATGTTTCTTCACAAGTAGTGGTAAAAAAAACGAATAAGAATCACTGTGTCAGTGAATTATTGTACATTTGTGGAAGAAAGAAGAAAAGAAAGATGATGAGGGAGGAGGTAGGGAGAATCGTTTTACAAAGAGCAATAGATTAACACTTTAAAGAAAAGCAATTAAATGAAGGAGAAAAAGTTATGTTTTGGATGGGGGGACCGCGTGTCTTTCTTTCCCTATCCTACTCTGTCTGTTTTCCTGAACGGTGTTAAGTGAACATATAAATATTTTTACACAATAACGGCAAGGAACATCACACATCACTGCTGCATAATGCACTACTGCATAATGCACCATTCAGAAATCATTTTAAAAAAAATCAACTGCTCCACTTGCTAACTAATTTACTATCCAATTTACCAGGTCACTTATTGATGAATCGATAACTGACCAATAATCTAAAGAAAAAAGAAAAAAAACTAAAGAGGACTAACTGTTGCCCAAGTAATCATTAGAACAGGACGACTGAGACATGCTTATTTATTGATTACCCAAATGACTAAAAAACTAAATCACCAGTCGATATTCTAAAACAACACAGTGATATCCATTTAGGGAATGGCAGAAAAAGCCCATCATTGTTTCTCTTCCTGATAAAGACTAACATACCGCCCATAAAAATTGATAACAGTGCCATGATTGATTTTTAATCGAAATATGATTTTTATATTTTTCATCCCATTGCCAAATAAATGACACTTCGATGTAATTAGAACTCATAAGGGGGATACCTATCAAACTGAGGACAATTTTCATTTATTTGAAATGAAAAGACTATTTACACGAAAAAGAAAAAATTTATTTCTGGAAATAAAAACATGAGGAGGGAACAGAACGAAAGGCAGAATGTTTTCAAAGGTTTATGAGCTGTATTTTGAGAAATGAAAATCTTAAACAGCCAACCATAAGCAATTCTGCAGACTTTCCATATAGTAGGTCAACGCAGAAATGAGTCCCAAATTCCCACGCTTTTTCCCTTCCTTTCTCTCCATCACCCTTCAATTTGCATAAAAATTCTTGTTGAGACGAGAAAACCTTTACAATTGTTTAATGCTACCCAAAATCGGAAAAATCGTTCAAAAAACCAACGTACATAAAGGAAGAGATTTTCAAAAAAACAGCCGACTAATGAAGAAGCATAATGCGTCGTACTCTACTCCCCTTACTTTAGCTCTCATGGAAATGGAAGACCAAGCATGCATAACTCAACATAGCCCAAATACACTCACATCTTATTCTTCTCAGCGCTTCAAAAAATAAAAAATTTGAAAACAAAAGTTATTTCAACTTAAATCATAAATATTTTTCAAAATTTCAACAGACCTTTCATGACTTCCGTTCCTTTTATTGTGACAGTTATTGAAATAACTTTTGTTTCCAAATTATTTTATTTTTTCAAACGATGAGAAGATGTGAGTGTATATTTTTGTCCAATCATCGGCATTACCTTTAAAACACTAATTGAAAGATCCCATAACTAATTATGTCATGCACTTTAGCTCGAGACTTCCTAATTAGCGTTACAGTGGCAAATATTTAAGTTGAAAGTGACTTAACATCTATTAACTCACAAAAGCCTTCAGTAAGTTCCAGCAGTATATGGCGCATATCTGTATACACAATTTGTCTTTAAAATCCTTGAACCCTTACACCTCTCGCATTCATCATAACATTTTGGTCGCAGTTTAAATGGAAAATTGTACAGTAGACTGACAAACTTGGGTGTTTAAAAAAGGTGCTTTTAAATTCGTTTGCAAAAATAAGCCAATAACATACCATATTTAAAGAACTAGGAATAATGAAGACAGGAAAACTATTTGGTAAACATTTCCAGAAAGGCAAATAAAAAAAGAACTGCAAAACACAAATTTTTATAAAAAAGAATCACTGTATAAATTTTATGAAGCTAAATTAGTAACGTAATTAACACGAGGATTCCGAGAGAAAAGTTATTGCAATCTTGATCAATGATCTTCTTTAATTTTTTAATTAATTTCAATTTTGGTTAAATCAATGCCTAATCTAAATGAGTTACTTTCTTGACTTATTTTATGTGCTAGTAGATTTATTTGATTACAGATTTAATATCCACTAACCTTACTATTTTATATGTATTGCTCTTTTTTTCAGCAAAAATCCGGTGTATGGGAGAACGAAAAAACTTATACGTAAGACAAAAGAGCAAGCAGCGACAGCTATAGACATTCTGTCCATCAACGACAAAATGAAAGAGTACTTTCAGATAACAGTCGAACTATTAACACAAATCAGTAAGTACAAAACAACTTAAAGCTTACTTTTGAGGAAGAATGAGAGATGTTCAGTCTAACATTATGAAGTTTCATGTAAAACGCAAGTGTGATGATTCCCAAATGAAACAGCTGTTACTATATGATGAAACAATTGTATCACTACGATTTTTAATTTATGAAAGCTGTTGAAATTTAAAGGCTCAACCAGATTTGGTGAATGAAAGAATGAGTATCCCTTTCTTCTTACTTTTACGAAAAGCTCATATCATTTTATTATAAGAGAACGAAATATGAAAAAGGGAAAAACCTAATTAGGTAAGCACGAAACAGATTTTTAATTCGTTCGCCACTTACCACTGGTACAATATAACTAGGATCTATGGCCCTTCTATTCACATTCCATTTATTCGCACCATGCCCCATGTTTGCAGTACGTAAGGTACTCTCCTCTCAAAACAATGTGCATATTTGTGGATTTTCTCCAGGAATGTCCATATAAACTTCTATCTCAATTCCTTAAAAGAAAATCGTCTTTTAACACCAGGTTATGGGTTTCATCTCGGCGGCTTCGAGATTCCTCGAAATTTCTTGAAGCCATCCAGACGAAACTTGTAACCTGCTGTCAAAAGAGGATTTCTGTTAAGTGAGCCTTGAGCTCATCTGAGCTTTGCCTTATGAATTGAGATGTGCTCAGATGTCAAGGATTTGAATTCTCATTGCATCCTTGTTGGTGACAAATGATTCGAAGTCTTATGTACTTTATGTTAAAAAACGAACAAATTTCTGGCAAGAAACAAAGATGCACAATATATCGATATCCCGATTAACAGATCGACAAATATTGATTAAGTTTTGTGGAATCTGTTGGAAGACAAAGCTTCTCACCACTCATTCTACATACGTGATCTCGCTCATTAGTGCACTATCCCTTACGATACGATTAACATACCGGCACGTTTTGAAATGTAACGTTATAGCATCAATAGCCGTCGATCAGAATAGGTTGTTAGTTGAGATGGTGTTGTCTTGGAGGACTGATTGTTTGAATGTTAAGAATGGAGAAGACGAGAATATGTTCTAAGTTAGAAACAAGACAAAAGCCGTAAATCAGTTTAAAGGAGCAAACAAGAGGCCGCCGCTGCCACTGCCGAACCGAGAGCCAACCATCTCTTTTCGACACAAGCCATAGGACGTTTGCTGCAAACCATCATAGAACACTTCTCCTACCAGACTTCTTCGCCATCTTCCTCTGACCCCTCTGCTCGGCTCATGTATAAAGCTTCTCTAGTTTCGGATGCTCTTGCACTTTTTTTTTAATGAACCTTAGTTTTATGCGGAATCAAGCCAGTGTGACCACCGAACATATTCACCAATTCGAAATGCACGGATATCTCCCAAAATTTAAAAGACTGAAACAGCAGTCAACATATTAAAATAGCTCGTGATGAAAACTTTCCAAATTTAGAAAGGATATTTTCAGATTCATCCCCGTCTCTTCGCTGAAAAAATGCTGCAATTGTTGAAAAAATGTTCAGCTGTATATTTCAAGAACGCTGCATTGCTGTTTACCGATCAATCGAAGAGCCGAACCACCCCAGATCAAAAACATGGTAAAAGTAACAGTGAAAGCTGTGTTACACTTCGAAAATTTCGAACAAATAAATTAATTCTTCGAACTTTTCAGCTTTCGAAAAAAAAGAGTGACTGCATTCAGTAATTTTTAAAAAATTTTAAATTTCAAATGAAAACAAATGCACTATTAGAACATCGCCATAATTTTTATAAAAGCAAAGAAGCAGCATGCAATAATTACAGTGGGATGTTATATATCATATAGCGTGGCTAACAACTCCACTCCAATTTTTCCTTTCCTTTAAGTAATCATTTGGCCTTCGCCTCCTTATAACGAATATTATCGATTTTTCTTTTTTTATTTTCCAGAAGTCCAAAAAATACTTCATTTTTTACTTTTATTCGAATTTAAATATTTAGCTTATTCTTCTATTAAATTTACATAAAATATTCATTACTTGGTACTCCCCTAACGGAAGTATTAGTAAGATTAACTTTTCTAAATAAATCTAAATTAGGTAATTTTGAATGAATTGCGAAAATATTCCGATTTTTTTCTAAAAACCCGCTAAAATTGGGTTTACAGTAAATACTACTAAAAAAGACACACTGCTCAAAACAATTCAGATTCTCGGAGATCAGGAATTAGAATGACTACATTATTTATAAACTCACATATACAAATTGGAATAATAGGCCAAGAGGAAATTTAAGTGAAGATAAAAAAGCGATGCTCACATTTCAAAATTCACTCGTTACTTTCGCTTATTTCACATGCCATCGACTGTTTGACCTACAGTGCAAAACCCGGCAAATTAATTAAATATTAATAAACGATTACTTTTTCGGTGAGTACTTCAACCATGCGAAGTTTTTACATGTCGTACTTTATGGTGCACATTTTCTCCAGGTCAGCTATTAATTATCCATCCAACCTCTTAGTTGGTTTTTTATCGACTGAAATTAAAAGCGAAGTTGAGTATATCTTATCAAAGTGCATGAGAGAAACTGACGAACAAGAGAAACATGAAAAATTATTTTAAGTGCATATGCTCATTTCACTTATTAGATGCTAGAACGAGACCCCAAGATTTGCAGCTTGCAAATAAAATTCCCTGCTAAATAGGACTGATTAATTTTAGATTGTGACCATTCGGATGTAAACAAGTGAGGACCGAAATGAACAGAATGGATTAAAAATTATTTCTCAAAAACTAACATTGAAGTTCAACTGCTGCTAGACTGACCGTTTGAGCTTCATCTCTCTATGCAAGTTTGGAACCTTGTCGCCTGATTGTCTAAAAATAAAGAGGTCAGCACTAAACACACACTGTCACTTTCATATTCACATCTAATCTATGCACATCACCCCTCCAACATTGTTAGAAAAAATCTGAATATTAATTTGTGGACGAAAAGGTTAGTTATTTTTCTCTTCTCCATCACTCCTCATTTTGCCCGGACTCATTTTTGATGATGTTGACCGACAGAAGAAAGCTAAAGACCTCATTAATACGTTACTGGCTTCATCAATAAGCTAAGGTGCCATTACTGTAATTATCCAACAAAAAATTTGACGCGTCTTCCTGCTCTTCCATATCATATCAAAAATATATTCAAGAAAATGAAATCCTTCAGATTTTCTTGACATAGAAAAAAGAACAATTGATTTCATCACAAGATGTATGCCACATTTCACATTAAGCAAAAAAAAGCAACAGTACTGCAGCTTTATACTAGTCCAGTTATTGATTTTTAAAATGTGTTTAATCATTTGTCTTTCCAACAATCTACGAACTATCTGAAACTGACACAGTTATTGATTTCTAAAATGTGTTTAATCATTTGTTTTTCTAACAATTTACGAACTATCTGAAACTGATCTTTGATCCCCCAACCACAACACAACGACTCGACCTTCGGAAAAATCAAATTATGTTACAAACTGAAAAAGCTACTGCACTTAACTCAGATTACTTACATTAACTGTGACTTATAATAATCGAACGGACATTTTTGTTGACCAAAACCTCCCCCTCCCCAATTTAATTTTTGTCTAATTGCTTAGATTAGAAGATTTAAACTGAAAATGTATAAAGTCGAGACCACTGCCCACCTCAACACCAGAAAACCGAAAAAAACTGTGGACACACCAACCATGCCGAAAAATAATCAGTGGTTGAGACTAGCCTGCGGTCCGTGAAATATTCTCTGTGAAAATGCAGCGTGTAAGAGGCGGTGGTACGGTTGTTGCAATTTTTTTATTTTTTTCTTTCATTTTTATCCTTTCATCCTTTAATTCTTTCCTTTTTTCTTTTTTTTTCTTGTGATTCTTTCATTTTTTATTTTTTGATTTCCATTTTGTTTCGTCCTTTCATTTCTGGGCATGCCTTCATGAAAAAACAATCATAAAAAAAACCTTAAGTAGGAATACAGAAATTCACTGACATTTTAAAATGGAAAGCTCACTGTCTTGAAGGATTTATATCCAGATTTAAATTTTATAAAACAGGTTTAAAATTGAGTAGCTGACTGGTACTACCAACTTATTACGTGTGTACAGCATGCTTGAAGTGTTTCGTAGCTATTATCAATAATTATGTGAGTTATATAGGAAGAAATGGCCCTTGCTGGGTATTACAAACATGCATGTGGGAATTTCTTCATCATTATTCCGTTTTCTTCGTCTGCGAAATTTCTGCTCAAAATTTCAAACTAAAGTAGGAAAGCAGAAATTCACTGGCATTTTAAAATTTGACTTGTTGAAAATACTTAATTATCTACTTGATTTGTTTTACCTTATTGAGCAAATAGATTCTTCTGTTCTACAGATTTTCTTAACTGCACATTGATTTGCAAATGCAGCCCAGTTGACTTTCGTAGGAAACTTACACACTAAAGATATTTCAAAATACAGGAAAGTAATTTAAGAAGCTTCATACATTCAATCATCTCATGTAAAAATATCATTATGTATTCGTGTCAGTCCAACTTAATCGCAACGAAACCAAGACCTGTAAGATATTTCGTAGTGGAAGATCCTGGTGATAAGTGAAATTTTACATCATGTTCCTGACAACAAGGCATGAGAACATAAAGTATGCACATATCGGAGCAGAGAACAACTAACCCCGACATTGCCTGAGATGGATCCACTGAATGAGTAGAATCCGACATCCAGAAGCAATTGTTATTTGAATTGTTTCCAAAAATTTCACTTTAATGCAAAATATAGCATGAAGCAGCAGCTGTACAATATTTATCCCAAGAGTGGTGTCAAGGTTTTGACCAACTGCCGATGTTTATGTTTTTCACATTGACGGTCATCCATTGCTACCTCGTGTCCTCGATCCGCTCTCTTAATGCATATGTCTCGACTATAAATCATTGCCTATGGGGGCTAATTGACCTCCAGAGTTGTCTCTTTTTGCCTTATTGCAACAATAAATGACAGATGTTTACACCACGTTATCACCACAACCACGCTATCCTTTCCTCCATTGGGTTTTTGCCAGCTTCATCTTATTAAATCCCCATTTAGACCCCCCTCTTTTTAGATAGCCAATAAAGAATTAATTCTGTTCAGTTCTTAAAAATTCTCGTCAAGAGGTCAATCCACGACATTTGACCAAATTTAATGCTTTCGAACCTATATCTGTGCTAACCTTACATCGACGTATTTGTTGCGAGAACCGAACATTTATAACAATGAGAAATATTAAAAATTGAAAGATAAATATTGATTGTAAATATTAAACTGATGTGAAATATGCCGAAAATAACTATGAAAAGTAATGATAGCTTCTAAAAACGGTCACTTTTTTAGGCTCCATAAGATCTAGAATGCATAAAATTGGTTGCAATCATGAGAAAACCTTTCTAGAAAAAAAAAAAAAAACAACGGAAAGCCAATAAATGAGTTAGAGAGGGCACACCGGCTGAATGGAATTTGAAAGGACGATGATGATTTATGAGGAAGGAATGAAAAGCTTCCTTTCCATCGTTTTCGTTCATCCATTTACCCAAAGCTGTCCCATATCAGCCATAAGCATTTATTTCTTGACCAAAAAAAGCAATCCGGGACGAGTTCCCGGAATTTTTCTGAAGAGATAAAGATGGAAAACAATGAGATAAAAAACATGCGAAAAATTCTCTCTTGCAATGGAATCCTGTTGATATTTTGGGGAATTTACAACGTTTAATTTTCATCATAAAACTTTTTCAAATTTGCTATCAATAAACTATTAGGTTTGTTCAATTCCTGTTTCTTAATTTACTTCTCTCAATTGCGGTATTTGCAAGATTCTTTCAAATGTGTTCATCACATACCTAATGCTGGTTCGAGTTAACTGCTGTCTTCTGAAATACTCCTATGGACAGTTCAAACAGTATTCTGTTGAAATTTTTAACAAGATTAATTTAATAGAATAATTAGTGAACATTGATAAAAAACTTTGAAATTTACTGAGGAATTATTTACTTAATGATGTCTTGCAGTAGATATCACTCTAAGCCAAACTTTCAATAAGACATACGAGTAGTGGTGTTCTCCCATCGCCTTTACTAATGCTAACAATTCGTTTTATTATCAGCTGATCTAGCAAAATATAAAAAGATGCCGAATTTCGTATTTATGAAGCACTAACAAAATGCTGATAATTTTCGAAAATAGATATAAATTTCAATTTATAATTTTAACTAGTTGCAACAAGCTTATATTAGAAACAAAATAATTTTGCTAGAGTACTGAATCTGTTGATTTTAGAACAGTTTTAAAGAGCTTTCTGTTTGCCCAATAGTTTACGTATTCTACACACCATTTTTGTTTTGAATCTAAAAATTAAAAAAGGCTGCCTTGCAATTTTATAAGTAGAACTTGAGCTACTAAGTACTGCGAAGCATAATGAGGCTTTCTAAGGAAATGAAAGATATCTTCTAGGAGCACATATTTTAATTGTAGAAGTTGATATAGCAGCTTGTGATAAATAATTAGTACCTTTATTAGATGGAAACTTGTGAATAAATCAAATTAATGAGATGATCCTTCTTCTTTTTCACATAATAAATTCATTTGTGATTGTCCTTCATTTACCTCATCTTCCATTTTTGAATTTCTCTGCTGGAAATATCTTCAAACTTCGCAATTCATACCTTAGATTAAAGGTGAAATACCTATAGACTACTCATTAAATGAGCTATTCGTTGTTGCAAACATATACGAAATTTTCAATAACATTAACGGGATCGCAATGTTCTTTCACGATCTGCCAGTCCAGTATTTGAAGAATATCTGGGATGTAATTAGTATGTAATATAGTAGTGTAATTTACAGGATAGGTGACAGAATATTGTATTAATCTCTTTGGATACTGTTGGATATGGAGGGGCGTATTCCATTTAATGAAGAGATTTTTACACATTTATAGAAATAAAAGAATAGTGCTTTAATGTTCATACTGTTTTACCAAAATAATGTGAATAGTATCTTATAATCGATATCAACAAAATCCAATGTGATAGCAGCATAATACGGTTTCCAACAAAGCAAAATGCAACTCCATGCCATTCGTACTATTTTTTATTTTTGCTTTCCAAAATTTTGGTATATAAAATTTACTCGTTATTGTTCCACCATTACCGTTTCCTTTTCTTTCTGATCTGTCTAGAAATTATTTTATTATGCAGTTGAGGACGAAGTGAATTTAATTAAAATTGAAATGAGCAGAAGCGAATGAACTATTAGTAAAAACTCCTGTTATACGCAGTTGTGTTTGCAAAGGAAATAAACAAATTCAAAATCAGGAATGTTTGAAAATTATGTAATTTAGGTGGAAGCATGTGACGCTACCATGGCATATTTGTCAGTCTAAAAAAAAGTCCTCTAATATTTGAAAATAGATATGCAAATGAATGATGATTCATGATATTGTTGATTTATCGGTCTGTCACTGGAACTAGAATAATAGACTAAGCAACCGTGCTAGGACGGTAAAAATATCTAGTAAGTGATGCA